GGCCAATATTATCAATCTTAGGCGCCAGTAGGTCTGGGGGCTACGTGCTTATGATCATCAAGTAGTTCATTTCTTCCATTTGGTGGTGGTTTTACCATCTGTAAAACAACTCAGGAAATATGCATCAGATACTGTTATGTAGGTACTTCAGAGAGGAGTTAAAGCAGAGGATATGGGGGAGAATTCTGTCCTGGGAAGGCCCCATAAGGTCCTGCTCAGTTACAGTACTTCATGGTCCAGTGAGGTTAAGCGATTTGCCCAAAATTACATAGGTAGGTCTAGAACACAAGTCTTCTGACTTCAACCAGTGAGGTGTAATTGTTCAGTCACTGATTTATCCATCAATTATTTTTATTTTTTATTTTTTTTTATTATTTTATTTTTTGCAGTACGTGGGCCTCTCACTGTTGTGGCCTCTCCCGTTGCGGAGCACAGGCTCTGGATGCGCAGGCTCAGCGGCCGTGGCTCACGGACCTAGCCGCTCCGTGGCGTGTGGGATCTTCCCGGACCGGGGCACGAACCCATGTCCCCTGCATTGGCAGGCGGACTCTCAACCACTGCGCCACCAGGGAAACCCTCCATCGATTATTTTTAAGCATATATTATATGGAGGAACCATGCTAGTTGGGGGAGAGCAGATGATTCTACTGTGTCACTGTGTCAGGGAAAAGAAGACATTCACATAAATAACTAGTTATTCCCTCAGAAAATTAATGTCATGAGAGTTATGGGAGTATAAAAAGGAGAAAATGTTGTATTATTTTAACAAATAAGTTGTAGAGATACAGAAGAATAATTGATTAGGTAACTCATTTAGATATTTCACCAGAGTAACCACAACTATAGGAAATCTAGCTGTTTGAACCACAAAAGCAGTAACAGTACTACTATGTACCTAATGAAAAATGAACCAACATAAAATAAATAACTTCCTATGGTCTAAATTTGCAAATTCAAACTATAATTAGTTATAACAAATGTCACAAATATCTAAGGTAGCCAATATCATACTTATAAAAGGTGGGAAAACTATTACTTCTGTTTTTCTCTCCAAAAGAAGTCTTAATATTGTTTGAGGCATCCTTGATTGTATTTATGCTTTATATTTTTTAAATGGAGGAGATTAAACTAAATTTGGGAAGAGGATATTACATTAATAGCTACATTTCCAAATGCAGGAAAAATAATTATATGAAAAACTGAGGGAGTGCTTTTCCCATATATCAAAAGATTTGAATTGTAAACAGCAATTCTCACGACTTCATATTTTATTCTATTTTATTTTATTTTTCCATTTATTTGATATTTCATAGATATTCCCACCATCCAGAACTAACAAATATTCAATTTTTGTATTATTTATTCCAACTAGGTTTTGTTTTGTTTTTTAGTAACAAAGGATGTAATTAAGGTCTACTTTTTAACCTATCTCTATCCTATTTCTCAACTTCCCTTTCAGACCACTTCATATTTTGAATTTAGACCCAATCTTGTGCTTTAGAATATAAATTAATTTAACAAATAATTTTTTAACAACTGCTATGTGCTCAGTATGTACAAAGTTAATAGGAAGTTAAACAACTTGTATTGTCTTTTACAGGAAAAAAAAGAACAAAAAGAAAAATAGCTGGAAGCAAAAACAACTAACACTATTTGACCTTCTCCTTTAAATACTTTCCTCTTTTGACTTCTAGCTTTCTGGTTTCTCTCACCTCTTCTGGACCTGGAACCTCCGTAATTTTGGGAGAAAATATTAGCTGTAAAATCAGTCTCATTGGTTCCACTACAAATATATGCTATGCAACTTCATCTAGTCCTTCAATGCCAATTATCAATCATTATTTTCCTTCATTTTCTTCCTATTTATCTACCTATCTATCTATCTATCTGTCTATCTATCTGGAGAGTCAGTATGTGCCAACAATGTCCTAGATGTGAGAAATAGCTTCAAACAAGACAATGTCTGTATCTTTAGGCCCCTTATCATATTCCAACAACACCTAGATGAGTGGTTCTCAAATGGAGGTATTTTTGTCTCCCAGGGGGCATGTAAGTATGTCTGCAGACATTTTTGGTTGTTGCAGCTGGGGGAAAGGCTGCCACTGCCATCTAATAGGTAGAGTCCAGGATGCTGCTAAACATTCTAAAAAGGAGAGGAAAACCCCACATCTTCCCTAAAAAAGATTGAATTATCCAGCCCAAAACATCAATAGTGCCATGGTTGAGAAATCCTGATATTAACTAACTAAAGACTAAACTATTTCCACACTTTTCTAGTCTTATATATAAAACCTACCGCATTCCTTGCAGATGGCTTCACATTCTTCTTGAATGAGAAGTTGTGTTCCTTCACTTTTCTCTTTTTGTCTCAAAATGCCTATGTATCCTCATTTGGCATTTTCTTACTGTTTTCTTTCTATGGATAAGTATTTCTCTTTCTTTTCAAGACTATTTTCGTTCAATACTTATGCCCTACCTTATTCCCCAAATTATGCTACCTACAAAAATGCATTCTGTATCACAGAATAAAAACAGATAAGAAATCAGGCAAAGAGTACTATTCCCCTTGGATTCTTATTTATTTATATTATTATTTTTTAATTTAAATTTTTTTTTTTTTTTTTTTTGTTGTTTGTGCTGTTTTTCACTGTTGTGGCCTCTCCCGTTGCAGAGCACAGGCTCCGGACACGCAGGCTCAGCGGCCACGGCTCATGGGCCCAGCCGCTCCACGGCATGTGGGATCCTCCCGGACCGGGGCACGAACCCGTGTCCCCTGCATCCGCAGGCGGACTCTCAACTACTGCGCCACCATGGAAGTGGCATGTGGGTTTTTGATGAATATTTTTTTATTAGAATGAGACAGTTCAGCATCAAGTCTTTTAATTTTATTTATTTTTGGCTGTGTTGGGTCTTCGTTGCTCTGCGCGGGCTTTCTCTACTTGTGGTGAGCAGGGGCTACTTTTCATTGCAGTGCGCAGGCTTCTCATTGTGGTGGCTTCTCTTATTGTGGAGAATGGGCTCTAGGTGCGTAGGCTTCAGTAATTATGGCATGTGGGCTCAGTAGTTGTGGTTCACAGGCTCTAGAGCACAGGCTCAGTAGTTGTGGCGCACCAGCTTAGTTGCTCCACAGAATGTGGGATCTTCCCAGACCAGGGATTGAACCCGTGTCCCCTGCATTGGCAGGCAGATTCTTAACCACTGTGCCACCAGGGAAGTCCCTTCTCTTGGATTCTTTATCTCATCCCCACTCACCTCCTCCAGACTTTAGTTCATAGCTTGTTTCCTCTCATGTACATCGTCATTCTCTCTGCTGTACTGTATTTTCACTGTGTCCAAAGTCTGCTTAATTATATTCTATCCTAAAATATTCTCTAAAACTTATTTTGATCCTTCTACTTTTTAACTTTTCTGTATCCCCTAGGACTCCTAGACTGCTGTCATTTTCTCCTAACGGTTCTCCTAAGCCTCTAATGTGGTCTGCATAGTGCTGTAGAATTTAGATTATGTCCACTGTTTTTATCAGAGTCCTTCAGTAGTCAACCAATGCTTATGCATAATAACTATGCCATATCAAGCATCTTCTATTTACAAGGTGCTGTGCTTGGAACTTGACCCAAGTTAGTAGTATCTCCATCATATAGAAGAGAAACTGAGGCTTAGAGAGGTTAGGTGGCGTCAAAACTGTATGGCTAGGAAGTGCAGAGCCAGGTTTCAAATCCATGGCAGTCTTATACCAAAGTCATACATTTTACTGAACTCTTCATTCCCTAAGGAATAAAGTCTAAGCTCCTTAGTTGGGCCTTCAGGATTCTTTGTGATCTGGCTCCAGACTTTTTCCAGTTACTGCTGACCTTCATCTACCCCACACTCTTGTTAAAGTGCTGTTGTTTTCTTCATATTCTCTTTGCTTTCTTTTCTTCTATTTGCTCTCATTTGTATCATACCCTCTGTCTATGTTATCCTTCTCATACAACTCTAAAGGTCCAAATACACACCCACCTTTCAAGCCCAGCTCAAACTTCCCAGATGAATTCTCTAATCTTCTCTGATCCTCCCTTCCTTCCTTCCTTCCTTCTTCCTCCCTCCTTCCTCCTCCCCTCTTCCTTCCTCCCTCCCTTCCTTCTTCTTCCTTCTTCCCTTCCTTCCCTCCCTCCCTCCTTCCTTCCTTTACCCCTTCCTTCCCCCTTCCTTCCTTCCTTCTTTCCTTTTATCCCCCTGGTGGAGCTTTCCTCACTTTCAGACTTTGTTATTATTAATCATATGTATGCTTTTTGCCCTCCTTTAGAGCAGGGAACTTGTTATGTAATAATAACATACTTTTGTGTAGAATTTTACAAAAACTCTTTTATACATGCTAAGAACCTGGCAAAGAGTAGGAGCTCAATAAATGTTTGATTCTAATCTTCATAGCAATTCTCCAAGGTGTGATTATACTTTACGAAAGATAAGGGAACTGAGGCTCAGAGAGATCAAGAGACCTACGAAAGAGCAAAATTGTTCTAAGCTCTAGCCCAAGAGTTACGTCTCCAGTTAAGTGCTCTTTGTACTACACTACCTATGGCTTCTGAGTTTGGTTCCCCCCCCATATATTCTAGCACTTTACCTTGGTCTGAGTAGTTATTGAATATGTTCTGAATGAATGAGTAAATGTCTGTTAAGAACATATTCTTTCAGTTTGAGAATCATGAGAGATTTATTGGCCACCAGGAATAAGAGCACTTCAGGATGTGACTCATCCCCATACATGGTATTTATTGTTCATTTAGGCAGAAGGAAAAACAAACCCTCCCATTCTGATAAAATATCTTAGGCAACATTAGGTTGAAGTCTGTATTATCCAGTTAAAAACACCAGTGCCACACACCTTTAACAAACGAGTTTTTTTATGTTATTTAAAATCAGTGAGTAGGAAGAAAATGGGAGAGTAATTTTTCAATTTTTGTTTTTCATTTTTATGTAGCCAAATTTATCATTCTCTTTCTTACTGTTTCTGCTTTTAGGGTCATGGTTAGAAAGGCCACCTCCATTCCAAAGATTCAGGTATGTTTTCTTCTGTTTTAATCATGTCATCCTTTATGTTTAGAATCTCTGGGATTACGTGTGTGTGTGTGTATGTGTATGGCATAACATAAGTTTATAATTTAATATTTTTCTTATATAGTTTAGTGAGTTATTTATTGATTTACCCTTCTGACTTTAAATTACATACTCCCATAAGCTAAATTCTCATATATGTATAAATATATCAACTTTCTAGATCTGTCATTTTTTCTATTGATGGTTTACTCCTCAGCTGTTTTTATTTATTTATATTGTTTTAATTATTAAAGTTTTAACTTCTGGCTGGCAATCTCATTTACTACTCTTCTTTAAAAGAAATATTCCTGGCTACCCTCTTAAAAATCAGCATATGAAAAAAAAATCAGCATATGAAAAGTTTTTGTCAAGATTCCACATTTTTAAAAAAACTGGGATTCTGATTTAGATGGAATAAACGTTACAGATTAATTTGGAGAATTGACATATTTAATACGTCTGATTTTGAATCTTCAAAATCAGAAACCCTGATATGGTTTTCCATTTACTCAAGCCTTCTCTCATTTCTCCCATTACTTTTATAATTTTACAATTTTTGCATAGCTGTGTGTATATGCATGAACCCTTTAGTAGAGCATAGTGCTTTAGAGCATGTATGCAAGAATCAGACCGCCTGGGTTCCAAACTCAGCTGTGCCATTAACTAATCGTGTAACCTATTCATTCACCTTTGTGTGCCTCATTTTTCCCTCCTGTAATATGGGAACAATAATAATAGTGCCTCCTAGACTTATTGTGAAGATGAAATGGGTTAATATACATAAAGTACCTAAAATAGTATCTAGCACATAGTAAGTACCACATAAGTACTACCTAATGATTTATGTGTTTATATACTATATGCATCTCATGTTACATACTAAATTTAATTGTGTTTTATACATTGTTATTACAAATGAGATATTTTTTTTCTATTATCTTCCTGTTGGTTTTTACTTTATTAATTGTGATTATAGAGTACAGTCCCAATAAAACGCTAAACTCAAATTTCAGCCTCCAGAGGGCTCCGCTTTCCTGTGAATTACTGTCATTTTCCTTTCTTGCCTCCCTTCCTTCCTTCCTTCCTCTCTTCGTCTCTCTCTCTCTCTCCCTTTCTTTTTTTTTTTTTTTTTTTTTTTTTCGCGGGCCTCTCACTGTTGTGGCCTCCCCCGTTGCGGAGCACAGGCTCCGAATGCGCAGGCTCAGCGGCCATGGCTCACGGGCCCAGCCGCTCCGCGGCATGTGGGATCTTCCCGGACCGGGACACAAACCCGTGTCCCCTGCATTGGCAGGCGGACTCTCAACCACTGCGCCACCAGGGAAGCCCCTCTCTCTCCCTTTCTTTCCTTCTTTCCTTCCAAGTTTAAGGTGGACAGCATAATGATTTGACTTACATACATCAAGAAATGATTATCACAATAACTATAGTGAACATCCATCATCTCATATAGATATAAAATTAAAGAAATGGAAAAAAGAATATTTTTCCTTGTGAATGAGCACTCAGGATTTATTCTCTTAACAATTTTCATATATAACATATAACAGTGTTAAATATTTATCATGTTGTACATTACATCCCTAGTATTTATTTATCTTCTAACCGAAAGGTTGTATCTTTTGACTGCCTTCATCCATTTCCCTCTCCACCTACCCCCTGCTGCTGATAACCACACATTTGATCTCTTTTTCTATGAGCTTGTTTGTTTGTTTTGAAGTATAATTGACCTATAACACTATGTTCATTCCTGTTACACAATATAGTGATTTGATATTTTATACATTTCAAAATGATTCATGCAATAAGTCTTCTTACTATATGTCACCATACAAAAATGTTACGTAGTTATTGACTATGTTTCCCACACTATATATTCCATAACCATGACTCATTTACTTTGCAGCCAGAAGTTGGTACCTCTTAATCTCCTTCACCCCCTCCCCTTTGGCAATTACCTGTTTGTACTCTGTATTTATAACTCTGTTTCTGTGGTTATTTTTGTTCATTTGTTTTCTTTTTTAGATTCCACATATAAGTGAAATCATACAGTATTTATCTTTTTCTGTCTGACATTTCATTTAGCATAATACCCTCTAAGTCCATCCATGTTGTTACAAATGGCAAGATTTCATTCATTTTTATGGCTGAATAATTTCATATATATATGTATATGTGTGTGTGTGTATATATATATATATATATATACACACACACATATACATATATATGTGTATATATACACACTTATGTTGCTTCCATATCTTGGCTATTGTAAATAATGCTGCAATGAAATATGGGTGATATATCTTTTTGAATTATAGTGTTTTCATTTTCTTTGGATAAATACCAAGGAGTGGAGTTGATGGATCATATGGTAGTTTTATTTTTAATTTTTTGAGGAATCTCCATACTGTTTTCCATAAAGCATGCACCAATTTATATTCCAACCAGCAGTGTATGAGGGTTCCCTTTTCTCAACATCCTCACCAATATTTATTATTTCTTGCTGTTTTGTTAATAGCCATTCTGAGAGGTGTGAGGTGATATCTCATTGTGGTTTTAATTTGCATTTCTTTGATGATTAATGATGTTGAGCATCTTTTTATGTGCCTGTTGGCCACCTGTATGTCTTCTTTGGAAAAATGTCTGTTCAGATCCTCTGCCCATTTTTTATACCAGGTTGTTTGGTTTTTTGATGTTGAGTTGTATGAATTCTTTGTAAATTTTGGATATTAACACCTTACTGGGTATATCGTTTGCAAACATCTTCTCCCAGTCAGTAGGTGGTCTTTTCATTTTGTTGATGGTTTCCTTTGCCATGTAAAACTATTTAGTTTGATGTAGTCCCATTTGTTTACTTTTGCTTTTATTTCCCATGCCTGAAGAGACATATCTAAAAAAAATTACTAACCAATGTCAAAGAACTTACTGCCTATGTTTTCTTCTAGAAATTTTATGGTCTCAGGTATTTTATTTGAGTCTTTAATCCATTTTGAATTTATTTTTGTGCATGGAATAAGAGAGAAATCCAGTTCGATTCATTCGCGTGTAGCTTTCCAACTTTCCTGACACTATTTATTGAAGAAGCTGTCTTTTCCCCATTGTATATTCTTGCTTCCTTTGTCATAGAATAATTGCCTGTATAAGTGGGCTCATTTCCGGGCTCTCTGTTCCATTCCATTGATCTATGTGTTGGTTTTTGTGCCAGTACCATACTGATTTGATTACCTTAGCTTTTATAATTTGAATCAGATGGCATGATACCTCCAGCTTTGTTCTTCTTTCCCAAGATTCTATTGGCTATTTGGTGTGTTTTGTGTTTCTGTTAAATTTTAGAATTATTTGTTCTAGTTCTGTGGAAAATGTCTTTGATATTTTGGTACAGATTGCATTGAATCTGTAGATTGCCTTGGATAGTATGGTCATTTTAACAATATTAGTTCTTCATATCCATGAGTACAGTATATCTTCCCATCTGTTTGTGTCATCTATGATAATTCGTTGTTATTGTATAGAAATGCAACAGATTCTGTATATTAATTTTGTATCCTGCAACTTTAATGAATTCACTGATGAGCTCTAATGGTGTCTTTTAATGACGTCTTTAAGATTTCCTATATATAGTATCATGTCATCTGCAAACAGTGACAGTTTTCCTTTCTTCCCAGTTTGGATTCCTTTTATTTCTTTTTCTTATCTGATTGCTATGGCTAGGGCTTCCAATACTATGTTGAATAAAAGTGGTGAAAGTGGGCATCCTTGTCTTGTTCCTGATATTAGAGGAATTGCTTTCAGCTGTTCACTGTTGATGCTACCTATGGGTTTGTCATACATTATTATGTTGAGTTATGTTCCCTTTATACCCACTTTGTTGAGAGTTTTTATCATAAATAGATATTGAATTGTGTCAAAAGCTTTTTCTACATCTATTGAGATGATCGTATGATTTTTATTCTTCACTTTGTTAATGTGGTGTATCATACAGATTGATGTGTGGATATTGAACCATCCTTGCATTCATGGGATAAATCTCACTTGATAATGGTGTATGATCCTTTTAATGTATTGTTGAATTCAGTTTGCTAATATTTTGCATCTATACTCATCAGTGATATTGACCTGTAATTTTCTTTTCTTGTGTGTGATATCTTTTTCTGGTTTTAGTATCAGGTAATGCTGGCCTCATAGAATGAGTTTGGAAGTCTTCCTTTGAAATTTTTTGGAATAGTTTGAGAAGGCTAGGTGTTAACTCTTCTCTAAATGTTTGGTAGAATTCACCTGTGAACCTGTCTGGTCCTGGACTTTTGTTTGTTGGGAGTCTTTTGATTACTGATTCAATTTCATTACAGGTGGTTGGTCTGTTCACATTTTCCATTTCTTCCTGGCTAAATCCTGGGAGATTGTACATTTCAAGGAATTTCTCCATTTGTTCTAGGTTGTCCATTTTATTGGCATATAATTGTTCATAGTAATCGCTTATGATCCTTTGTATTGCAGTGGTGTTGGTTGTAACTTCTCCTTTTTCATTTCTGATTTTATTGACTTGGGCCCTCTTGTTTTCTTGATGAGTCTGGCTAAAGGTTTATCAATTTTTTTTGTCTTTTCAAAGATGCAGTTCTTAATTTCATTGATCTTTTCTATTGTTTTTTTAGTCTCTATCTTACTTATTTCTTTTATAATCTTTATGATTTCTTCCCTTCTACTCATTTTGGGTTTTGTTTTTCTTTGTTCTAGTTCCTTTAGGTGTAACTTAAAATATTTATTTGAGATTTCTCTTTTCTCCTGAGGTAGGCTTGTATACCTATAAACTTCCCTCTTAAAACTGCTTTGCTTGGGCTTCCCTGGTGGCGCAGTGGTTGAGAGTCCACCTGCCGATGCAGGGGACACGGGTTCGTGCCCCGGTCCGGGAGGATCCCACATGCCGCGGAGCGGCTGGGCCCGTGAGCCATGGCCGCTGAGCCTGC